GTACTGGACCAGGAGCTTCGAGCAACTTTGCAGCAGGGCTCTGTCTGGAAAGCAAACAGAAAAACTATCAAACCAAGATTAAATCAACTTGGAAATTGTCGCAAAGCAGGGAAGTGCTATACCCGCCTGATTCTCAACACACCCCCCTGACAAGTCACTATGCAAATCACGCCAGACTGAATCTGAAATCATGAGTCCAGGTGTTTGTTTTGAACAATGTTTCAATACAGAACTTGACTCAGGCACTGCTGCATGCCTCCGAAGGCTGCAAATGCTGCTGGCTCTTGAGGTTCTTTGCTTTCTCCTGTCATGGTTCATCTCGACAAAGTCAACGGTATAACATGTTGACATATTGAGTGCAGAAGCCGCCGGGAGCGCTTGTGTGACAGCACTCAATGCAAGGCTAAGGCCTGGAAAAGCTGGACTCGCAACAGAACGAAAGAAACGAAGTCATCACCTTCAGGACACTTGCTCATTCTCAGCACGTTGATATATTAGTGTTCACTGGTGAGTATAAGTGTACTTCGGCATATTTCATGATTGGTGCGATCTACTGCATTGGCTCCACCTCTCCACACCCCCTTTGGATTGGACCGCGTCGATGGTTTCCATCCTCGCATCTTGATCATCCCAAAATTCGATTATCAAGCAGTGCTTGTCCTGACTCTGGCCTGTTTCGTGGATGAAACAAACCAGTCTTTTAGGGGTTCGTGAAGGAGGCAACATGACAAAAAGAGGCCAGTGAGCTGCTCCGGGTCTTTTTGGATTCCGAAACCAAGCCCAAAGAAAGCCTAAACAAGTCAAAACCGAAACCAAGAAATCCTGAAGAAATGAAGACCTAACCAGCAACAAGAGCAAGAAGGATACCGATGGAATGAAGGAAAGAAGGAGGGGAAGGAGGAGAAGGAGAAGGAGGCTTTCGAGCTTCCACTTGTGCAAGGAATTCCTCGTGCTTGCTTGTGTCTTCATTTTTGAGGGTTTCTTGAGGCTTGCTTCAGGGCTTCTCCTCTGTAGGGTTGCCTCAGGCTTGGTTTAGGGGCTTCTCTTCCTTACGGCTTGGGCCCTTGATTTAGGTCCTCACTTCTTTAGGAAGGACGCTATAGGGGCTCCTGGCCTTACTACTAGGAACACGGACGCTACTAGGAGCACAGGGCATCGCTACTAGGAGCAAGGACGCTTAGGTCTTCACGTTTCTAGGATGCTTGGGTACCTTTCCTGACTTGGACGATCTGGTTTCCTGACTCTGGAGTAGGTTTCCCGACTCTGTCTTCTCCCAACATGGTTATGCGGTTATGAGTCATGATAGGTGTGGATTCTCAATCAAGAACTTACTTTCCTTCCCCGCAAGTTGTACACAGCTTCACACGTGTTCCATCTTTTCCTGTTGAGTAACAGGCTTGTTTCCGTACAGGGAGCTACCGGAAGTTGAAAAGTGAAGGATAGTAAAGGTCTCTCTCTCTCTCTCTTTCAAGTTGCTTGATATCCACACCTGCAAATCCCAGAAGGGCTATGAAATTCATGGCCCGCCTCGGTGCAAGTACCAAACTCCCAACATGCACGACTTCTGGGCGACTTCTGAGAACTTGACTGGGATCCAGATATGAACGTCGTCTCAGTTTCATCTTTGAGCCAAATGACCGATGAGGAAAAAGAATGAAAAGAAAATCTTCTGTTCCTTGCAAAGCTGAACTCAAAAACACCACACAGAAGATGCCTCCGAACCGAAAAAGGGATGGCGGAATGGGGTCTCGGTGTAACCTGTTTCAAGGCTAATTGGTTCGAAGCCCACGTGGGGGACCTCACCCATCTCAGGCCTACACCTCGTCAGAAAGAAGAAACCAATTCGACGAGTTGACTCCAAAACCTTCAAAAGTCTACTCCATGACATCTGTCTTCAAATGACGTTCGCAGCCGCCTAGTGCTCGTAGAAGAAGCGCGTTTGCAGGTCAAATTCACCTCAGAGGCCGCAGCTGCTCTCTCCAGCTGTTCTGAATGTGCACACTGCTTGATCGTGTCGCGTTTACAGGAACAAGGCCGATCAGTAAGCTCAAGGCCATCCGTCTCCGCCCGCAGCAAGCCGCGATCCTCGACATCACTCGATGTCACTGGTTCAGTCAAAAGCACTCAGTCAGGGCGGCACGCAAAGAGCACGCAGTCGAGCAAACGCTTCATGCCCATCCTCAAATCGAAGTTTGTTGATTACGAGGCTCTGTCTCCTTTCCAAAATCTTGAAGCGCAACTCTCCTCTTCTTCTCTAACAACATACAGCAACACACTTTTGGGACATTCCAAAAGAAGGTCACCTTCGCAGCGGCATTAGCATCCCTGGCTGGAAAAGAAGACTGCCTGGCCACAGTGACCATGTGGCAGCAAATTCGCATACGTCGTGGATCGATAACTTACTTACCTTGTCTGGTGACAGCTTTTTGCTGCTTCCGAGCAACTCTGATATGTCAAGGCTCTCCGGATAGTTGCTCAGTTTTCTGAGAACTTCATCGCCAGTGAGCACATGGAAGCGCCTAAGGGCAGGAATTTACTAGAGGTGTTCATTCCACAATCAACACAGACGTTTTGTCAGACAAGTTGCTTGAGAATCCGGACCACGGCTGCGTCGACTACTGGCGCGTGAGCCGCCTGTGATGCCCTCGCTGGCTCCTCATGGGATCCCCAGTTTGTCTTGCCTGGTAAGACTACCTGGCAAAAGGTACATTTCATGTAGGAAGCAGTGGCAAGTCTAAATACTTACATATTCTTGGTCCTTGGCTTGCCACAAAAGGCACAGTTCTTTCGTTTGTTGTCTGACTTTTGTGCACAACTATCTCAGCCGTCCTGAGTAGAACAGGTTCTTGCAAACGGTTGAACCCTGAGGTCCAAATGGGAAGCGTCGCTTTCTGGACGAATGGCAACATAGTTGATATTCATGAGCTCCAATGGCTTGTTGCTCCCGACCAACTGCAAAACTTCCTGCATACCACCGACGCCACTAGCCTTTTCGGAAGAATCCTGAAAACTCGTAAACCTCTCATGTTGAGAGTCTGTAGAAAGAGAGAGACCACTCATCTCCAAAGAAGCTCCAGTGCTGAGGTGCTCATCGACAGCCAGCAAGAAGTGTGCTTGCCTCTCAGAAGTTGTCAACCGAGTTTGTCCTTTCTGATGTCTCCAAGAAAGAACTACCACACCAAGTCGACTCCAAAGCAATTTTCGATGGGGATACTTTGTCAGGTAGTCCTCGGTCCATTGAAGTTGAGTGGAAAAGATCTGTTTGGAGATGGAAGAAGCTTGACAAATTGGATGAGAGTGCGAATTGGTCAGAAGTGAAAGTGCGAAAGACTGGCTGGAAGAGAACCCCGAGAGCCCGATTTCTTTGGAGAAAACGGGCTGCTGCGAGAAGCTCTCCTCACAGAGTTGCAAGCTGGAAGCAGCCACTGCACTGATGGCCAATGCTTTGAAAGGTGCACTCCCCAAAGCATCTGCAGTCTCTTGCAACACCTTTGCCAAATGCCTCAACACTGGATGTTGATGCCCACACTCATTCTGCAGAAACTCCAAGAAACGTCGCTCCATGCTCACCTGCAGCAAAAAAATGCAATTCATCTGCAACATGTCAAACTTTCTAGAATAAAAACAAGTCAAAGACTTTGACAGCTGACACCGTCAAGTCGAGGAGACGAAAGCACCTCATGATTTCCCTGTAGAGCTCGCAATGCCACTAAACGGGCTTGGGCCTGGAGTGGCACACCTCCTGATGGAAGAAAAGAAAGAAGACTCATGTGGGCGCTTGAAGCGCATAAACCTGCTAGCAAAGACTGAAAAGTACTCAAGCATAGGTGTAGACCTGATTGAGACCATAGGTCTCAGCCTTCAGATCAAAAACACAGTGCAAGCGGTGAGGGGTGGTCTAGATGCCCCTTGCAGGTGGAAAAAGCAAGCTAGGGTGTGGATAATGCATGAACCTTGTTGGTCGTCCCAAGCAACTAAAGAGTGTTTCTCCAACTAGCCGTCCTGCATCAGGGAGAAGGCGGAAGAGCAACAGGAGGGGTGCAATCTTTCCCGGCCATGGCTCGTCAGTTGGACCTGGTCAGAGTTCGAATCCTTTTCCAAGAAGGTTGATAAAAACCAACGAACCTAATGCACACACAAACGTCCAAACTTAGTCCAAACAAACCCAAACACAAACGTCCAGACATTGTTTAACATTCTTGTTTGACACTCTTCAAGAACACTTTTGAAGGATGTGGAACCTTCTTGTGGGACACTCTTGCGGCACACTCTTGTACGACATTGTGGAACACTCTTGCGGGGCACTCTTGCAGGACACTCTCTTGGGACACTCTTGTAGGGCACTCTTGCGCAACAATCTTGTCAGAAATTCTTGTGCGAAGCTCTTGTACGAGTAGGACACTCTTGCGGGATACTTTTGTGGAACTTGTAAAACTCTCTTGCCGCAAACTTCTGTCAGAGACGCTTGTACGACACTCTGTGGGACACTCTCATGGGACATTCTTGCCGGAACACTCTTTGTGACACTCTTGTAGGGCATTCCTGCCTGTAGGGCACCCTCGTGGGACACTCTTGTGGTGGGAAACTCTTGATGATACTCTTGCTTGTAAGGCACTTGCTGGACACTCTTTTGCAGGACGCCTCACTCTGCAACACACTCACTCTAGACCAAATGCAGGTTATGTGACACAAGCCTTGTTCACAACACAAAATGACCCGCTCACCCGTTTCCGAACGGCACAGAGCCACACAAACGCACTTTCCACGGAGGCTGGGGTGCCACAGACTAGATGTAGCCGTGCCACGCAAAGCCCTGAGCGGAGTCCCAGAAGCTATTCCCCACTCATTTAACAACAAAGTTGCCAGTTCCTCCAAAAAGTCAATCATAAAGTCTCCAAAACGAGATTGTGCTCGAGATTTACCCGTCAAGTCTCTAAAACGATCATGTCTCCCTCCAAAAGTGAAGTGGGAAGTCTCATCAGACCGAACGCAGCACGCAGCCATGCCAAACAGCTTTGAAAAAATGAAGCCCCTTCGCCAAAGCAGCCACCGACACACCCATCCACACCAAAGGTCGCCACCGATGAAAAAAGACTGTGCCACACCTAGTCAAGTCTAACAAAATTTGCACGCCAAACGTTTGAAATAGTTTTGACTCACATCACTCAAAAACTACAGCTTCGAAGAAGCACTTCAAGAACAAATTCCGGCACAGCAACATTCAACACCGAAAGTGTGTTGTGTTCTTTTTTTTCTTGCTTTCAGCCCGCGGGAGGTGGAGGTAGCTAAGTAGCTAGTAGCTTACTTCAGCTACTAGCGCAGGATAGCTCGAACTAATGATTTGGTTCCTAGATTTTTTGCGAAACTTAAGCTTAAAGAAAGTCAGTGCCTGCACAGCAAAACATGCTTCACACGTGAGCATGTCACGTTTCTACACTATGTCACATGAATTGACCACTTCGTCCATCCATCACCCCTTTCTAAAAGCTTCCATTTTTTGCCAAACGCGGGTCAACACGACGAGTCTGAGACGAGACTCCAGATACGAGACCACACGAGGCAAACACAGGTCCAGCTTGCAGATCCACAAACGTTAAACGGGAACCCTTCGAAACGCATTCGTGAACAAACGCGTGAACCAAAAACATTACACAACTTGGGGGAACCTAGGAGTGTTCAAAACATTCTTGAGGACCCAGCCCCAGCCTGGCAGGGCTCTAGCAGCTTGAGTTTGCACCTCTGCGTGAAGAGCTTGTGCAATCGCTTCCGAGAGCTCTTCCACACTTGGAGATATCAACGAGCTTTCTTTGCCACTATTGCCCATCGAAAAATCCAAAGCGTTAGACTTCTTGCCAAGAACTTCTTCCCAAGGCGGATGGGATGTATTGCAAGTCAGCAGGGAATCTGCTGCAGTGATGGCTGCGGCCACTGAACCAACTGGAACTTCTGGGAAAAGGATTCGGCAAGACTCATGCACCACCAAAAGAACTGCACTGAACCATGCCACTGCATTTGAATATCCAGTTCCTTCTGACCATGCAGCCCGTAGCAGTAGTGAACAGGCTTGTGTGAACGCATCTTTCAGTTGAAGGAGAGCCTGTGCATCATTGCAGTGCTCCAATGCTTTCCGGACTCGTTGAAAAGAAGTTTCCTCTTGGCTTAAAGAGCTTGCAAGACCCGCACAGCCGCCAGCACAGCTCACACAATTCGGCCAAAGAAGGTTCGCTAGAATCCATGGAAGCACTGGGAGACTGAGCTGCAGCCAGCTTTGGGCGCATGAAGCTGCAAAACTGTAGCTTTTGGACTCGGAGCTGCTTGAGCAACAGCTGTCAATCACAGCCTCCACTTCAGTACTGTAGGCTAAGCGATTTGCCCAAGCCTCACAAGGAGCACCAAGAGTCAAGGCCTCCAAAGCTTTCTGACAATCATCTGCGAACCTTTGCTGAGAAGCCGAACAAAAAGCTTCAAGCTTCCTGCTCCATGGAGCATCGTGCGCAAAGAGGTTTGAAACCACAGGTAGAGATGGATTTGCAAATCTGCTGGGATCCGCACGGAAGCCTTCCAAGCTCAATAAATGCTGCTCAACTAAGGTGACGCATTTCTCTGCCGACACAGCAGCTCTGGCAGCCGCCAAAATGGTCTCAGCCCAGCCAATTTGGATAGTCTCTCCCTTTAGGTTGGAGAGCAGGAGAGTCGCTCTCTCCACCAATTCCCACAGCTCTGGAATCTCTGCCACATCGGCCTCACAGAGATGCTTAGATGACTAGTACAAGACACAAGGCCCGACAAAGCCTGGACAGGTCCGGACACAGAAGGACAACACCCCGAACAACAGTTAGGAGGACAACAGGACGACAACCACCCAATCCGAGGTTCGGTGGCACGACCACAGGTTGGCCAGAGAGAACCCGAAAAACTTTAGTTCAGCTTCTCAGCTACATCAATGAGCCACCACTCACTAATAACTTTGCTACTAGGGGCTCCTGGCATCGCTACTAGTAGCAAGAGCTACTAGGGACTCCTGGCCGCACTACTAGGAGCAGGTCGTTTCTCACCGCAAAGACACCACCCAGCCCAGGCCGTGAAACCCGCTCCTGCTGCAAGCGTTGCAAATACGGCCGCAGGGCCTCCGCCACTGAGTCTGCAGAGGCCTCGCACAAGACCTTGGGGCCACGCAGTACCCTCGTGCCTCCTTGTGCGTAGTACATCTGCAAAGACCCTATTGAATCTACTGGGACAAAGAAAAAATCCTTATGCAAATGATGTGAAAAAAAGCTCACCTGCTGCATGTGTGACTGCTTCCACTTCCCACTGATTTCTAACTCAGAAACGGTGCAACACTCGTGCAACACTTGTCTAACACACGTGCAACGGTCCCAGAAAGAACTGCTGTTTGGCCGCAATGTGGTCCAAAGAAACGACGTAGCGCTCACCACCTCAGGACCGAAGGTCGACCGAAGGAGGACGGAGACCTTCGTCTTCTTCAACGGACAACCGAAAGAGAGAACAACATCTGCCGAGCATCCAAAGATCTGTGACAGACATTCGGCCAGAGAGCGTCTCTCTGGCACCATGGGGACCATGACCAGGCCATGGCAAAGTTCAACTTGATCATCAATGCAAGATGCAACTTGATGCAACTTGATGCAATGATGATGAATTCCATGGAATGTGTTCACAACATTCACCCCTTTCTTCTGCTGCGCTGTGTTCCGTTTAGAGGGGCTGTCTTGTGTAGTTATGTGTCCTGCTGGCGGCTGTTTAGGTAGGAAATGACACCATGACCAAAACAAACTAACTACATCAAGCTGAAAGCGGATGTTACTTGAATGATGCTTGCAAACACATCGCCCATTGCTCACAAGGTCATGGTGCAGAACAAAGCAAGGAATGAATTATGCGGCAAAAAAAAGGGTTCGCGGACAAGTCTTGGATCAATCCACATCCATCAAGACTTTTGCACGTAGATCTCTTCGACTTCACCAAGTTCGAGCTTGAATGTCTTGGACTTCCTGGCCGCAACAAGAGCACTTGAGGCCGAGGGTTGGTGACGAAAGCTAGCAGGGCGGGGGTGAGCATGCAAATGCACATGTCCCAGAGACGTCCAGGGAGGAGTTGAACCCGCGGGGGGGGGGGGCCGTACGCATGAAGTTTTCATGCGATGCTGCGCTCTCGAGGATTTCACCCCCTCACTTGCTAAAGCAAGAACAACTCCAGCTAGCTGGTGCTAGCTTTCGTGAAGACTCCCAAAACTTACAGAGTGCAACTAAATGCTAGGGAAACTCTAGAAATCATGAGAAAACCACTTCCCACATCTTCAACAATCTTTCAAGTCCTTCCGAAGGGGTAAGTGCCTTAATACTCAAGCGAGAGGCTGGGCCCTTGGGACGGACAACTTTGTCTCCTTCTGCTTCGATTTGTCAAGCCTGACTGAGAACGCAGAACATGCATTGCTCTTCACACTTCATGAATCACAATTATGTTTCTCTTCTTGTGCCCTCTTCTTGTGCCCTTTGGATCTTTCTTTTCACTTTAAACCTCCCTCGTTCTTCCTGTGTCTTTTCTCCATAACTTTTTTTGGACTTCCAGGATCTTCCAGGATGACGTTTTGAAAGTAAGGCCATTCACATGTTCAAACATTTGCGAACTCCCGCCCTCTCCTTCTCCACCTCCACGCCGATGTTTGCGTCGCTGTTCTCACCTGGGCTTCCCAAGACAAAGCTGATGAACAACGGATCCAGGTCAAAGCTGACGGGAAACACCGGATTGCTACAGCAAACCCTTGAGTCAACATACTCTGCAAACCCCTCACCTTGACCAACAGCCGTTCGCAGAACAATGTCGCGATGGTTTGCAAAAGTTGCGCAAGTTCACAAGGTCAGAACTGCCCTCCAACAGACTTTCGATCACCTTGTCAATGGCAGCCTTGGCGGTACAGATTGTTTGTTTCGCTCCGGCGAAAGCAGAAATGTTTACCTAAGGCTCCTCACCTTCTCGTGCTTGACAGCTGATGACCTCAAAGAACTGGTTCTCTTTGATTCTCCATGCACTCGCTTCACATGAAGCATGAAGTGGCAATGCAAGGCATTTGGAAATTGGGGATATGTGATATATGATATGCAATGCCAATTCTTCAAGTGAGGAACTGGGGGATCTTGGGCTCCTCATTGATGTCGTTCAGCATTTCTGAAAGCGGAGCAACTCGGCTCCTGATGTCCGAGCGTGTGGGAATTCAAGACATCAAAAAGATGGGATGACGCGGGCCTTCTTGTGGAAGCACCCACATCAGAGCGGGCCTCCCTAAGGGCCTGGACACCAGAGCAAAAACTTGAATGTTGGAACGAAGCGAACAACACTGAATGCATCTAAACACCACTAGGTTCATGAAGATACTTGCAAGACTTCAGCCACTCTAAGAAAAACACCTGACCATGGCCCATCTCAATAACAATAGCCTCCAACGCTGCAACACGCTCCTGATCACCCAAAATATGAAAAGTACCAGAGCAAAGGCAACTCGAAGGAAAGAGCTTCAGTCAACATGCACTCTTTGAAAAAGACATGCATGCGTTTCCAGGCAACCATACTAGCCGCAATCCTATTTTCCACTTGAGCACTTATGCTAAACAGAAATGGAAAGAAAACCACAGCAAAGAAACCGCAGCTCCTGGAGAGCTTCAAATTCCTCTTCGCGCACGACGTTGGGCCTTTCGGGAGTCCGCTCCCTCCCTACTTAACTCCTAGGTACTTAACTACTTAACTACCTGCACGTCTTGCGGCACTCATTTGGTTCGGAGTCGAAAGCGCTCAAGCGGATGCCTTGCCATGGGCGTGAGAGTTCCAACTTTCGCCACGGCCTCAGGGTCGTACCTCGAGAATAGCAAACATTGTTTCTAGGTTCGCTTCTTGTTACTACTAGTAAGGCACTTGTTACTAGGAGCGTGGCACTTGTTAGTAGCTAAGTATGTAAGGACTATCTGTTAAGTTTCCAAATTCCAGAAATCGAATCATTAGTGCGAGCGCTTCTTCAAGGAAGCTACCCCCCGCCGTCTTTAGGGCGGCGGCGGGAGCTTCCTTGAAGAAGCGTGAGCTATCGGGGCTTCCATACTAGTAGCTTAAGTAAGGTACTAGCTACCTCTCCCTTACTTACAGTAATTAAGTAGGCAGTACGTGCCTACTGAATTTAGGAGGGAGGAGGGAAGCAGGCTCTTTTCAAAAGTTCCTCCGACTTGTCAGCGAATCACCTCTTCTCTCAAATCGATCACCTCTTGAGGTCTTTCAAGCGCCGAATGGAGAGCGAGAGCCTTCCAACCAGGAGCCCCTAGTAGCGTCCTTGCTCCTAGTAGCGATGCCCTTTGTTACTAGTGGCTTCTTGTTCCTAGTAGTAATTCCAGGAGCTACTCGTAGCTTCTTGCTCACTAAGGCTGTCATTTTACAACGAACCAAATCAGAAGAATGTGTTGCTGTGCCTGTCCGATCGAACGATCGGGCTCTGGAGGACGAGCGCCTGCAACAGAGCTGGATCTTGTAAAGCAAGAAAACGTCTGGATTTAGGCCATTCCAGCAGAAGTAGCCTCCTGCAGGTTGATTTAATTTGCGCTTTCTGGACAGACCCTGACAAAAAGGTTCTAACACCCCTTGAAACTAACCTTGTTTTCAGCTGATAGGCCACCAACACATCCAAGACCCACCTCAACACGCTGTCCAGGGCACAAATATTCCTCAATGTTTTCGATGAAAACATCACTGACCTGGCAAGGTATAGGGTATGCTCCAGAACAGCTGTTAGACAAGAAATGCTTCGGTGTTCAACATGCCTAATCTCTAGATATTGCTGGAAATTGAATGAAATCAGCACCTCCGAGACGTGAACAAGGCCTGTCCTGCATATGATCACTCATACAGGATACATACACCACTATTCAGGAATTGTTCTTGGCACTAAAGCAGAGTGACTTACTTTTCACGCTTCTTCCATCAATCGTGGGTCTCAGGATCGTGCCAGCCGGTGTCATCAAGTTCGACGAAGGCACCCCATTCAACGATGGAGGTGACCACTCCCTTGGGACGGCCGATGGCCGACAGGGAAGAAGTTGAATAAGCTCTCAGTTGTAAAAACTGCCGCAAAAGAATTGGGATCCGACACTCACAATATCTCCTGGCTTTGGCATCTCAATATCCAATGCGTCCTGTCCACTGGTCTCGAACAAACATCCGTACCCAAAAATGAAAGCTTGGTGCATTCCTGAGCTGCAGAAATCTTTGGCAGAAATCGTTTTCAGCTTCTATTCAGCTTCCAGGTTCACTCTCTCCTGGATCGCCTTCCCCAGGTCACCATCTTCACTTCGAAGCGCCTTCGCACAACTCTTCACTCCGAATTTGGCGACTTCGTCTGACCGAAGTCGCTCGAGGCTCCGACCTGGACGAAGCGATCCTCCACGGTTTTGGGTGCTCTCTGCTCCCTAGAGCAAACCCCAGGAACAAGTGCATCGCTACTAGTAACAAGGGCCTTACTACTAGGAACAAGAAGCTAGTAGAAACAATAAGTAAATAGACTTTAAATAGAATTAAGTACCGAGCAGCTTCTATCGCGAGAATTGGAATTCCTCCGTGCCTTTGAGGCGCAGCGGACTCTGAATCTTTGACCGCCTGGTGTGAGGCCAGCCGCTTCACAAGATCCACCTGACGTGCTCTGAGAGTTTCCACATGAAACCCAAAAGACCTGAAAGCTCCTTGGGCTAATCAAAAGGGCGATCGAGCTGTGGAATCTCATATATGAAATGGTCAAACGGAATAGATTTGCCTTGGTGCCCTTGATGCTCAAGCTCCTGCAAAGCTCTGGTCTTCAACACCCCGAAGCGAACTCCTGGCTCCCTGCCCTCCAAGGATATTCTCCTCTCTTGGCACAGGTCCCGCAGATCAGTCATGGACAAGTTGTGCAGCTCTCGCTGCGCCTAGAGTTGCATGAGCAGGAGCATATGTAAGACACATGTCATGCATCAAAACATCTATCAAAACCAAGGAATACAAAGAACTCGAAGTGGCTTTACTTCCAAAGGAGCATTCGGGCCTTTCCACCTTGAAGCCCTGCCTGAGTGTAGAGCTCAGTCTCCCGCGACTCATCCTGACTCTCCACATGTTCACGTTTCTGAAAAACGCAAAGAATGTGCAAGTTTGCATGAACTTTGCAGAAAAACTCCAGTCCCGTGCCTGTGTCTGGTCCAATGCATCTGAGAACTGCAGCGCAAATGTTCAAGTCTACAGCTGAATTTGGGTGGTTGAAGGCCTGCTCAGTCTGTTCAAGCTGTAACTTCCAGCAAGAAAACTGCGTCAGCTGCTCGAAGCCTCCATCAGCCGGCGGATGAGATCGCCCTTCTTGCCAGAGACTTTCAGTTTCCTATCCAAGGAGAAGCTAAACACTGCTCACCTCACCGCGAGTGACATCTACGTAAAGTCAGAAGTCTCTCGGTCCTTTCTTTGCATAGCTTCTTCAAAGCCGTGACAGTGGCTTCTAATAGCTCCGCTTCTCTGAACACTTGGCTGAAGGCCTTTGCGGCAAGCCTGGGGAAGTGATTTGGAGCTCCTTTATGTTGATCCAAGAAACCCTGTGAAGTGTCCTTGCTCCTGGTAGCGATGCCCTTTGTTCCTAGTAGCTTCTTTGCTCCAAGTAAGGCGGGGAGCCCCTAGTAGCGTCCTTGCTCCTAGTAGATTTTGCAATGTGTCAAAGGCGAGAAATTTCAAGCCCTGATTGAAACGCCAAGTTGCATGGAGAGCGATCGTCGTCTTCGGCAAATGCTCGCGCCCATACCTCGATCCATGTTGAAATCTACAAAAAAAAACAAGGACTTCCGCTACCTCCAAGGCAACAAGTCCAAGCACGTGCCCAGTGACCTGGAGCATGTGGAATGTAGATATTGCCACATCGAGCCTATCAAGACTATCTGCTCCAGTTTCAAGCCTTGGGTGAGTGGTATTCTTCTGGCCTTGCAAAGGTGGGCAGAAATTTTATATGAGGCATTTTCTTTTGCGAATGCCTGGCTGGCCTAGCCTTGTGCAGTTTCCATCTGCAAGTAGTGATGCTTATCCTGGCGACGAAAAACAGCACCCCTTGAAGGACAGAAATCTGCACTTGGGCCGGGCGACGGTCTTTCTTGAAGAGAATGTATGACATCCTCAAGGAGGCATGTGCAATGTAGCAACCTCAAAAACAACACCAAGTAGCAGCTCCTGACACGTGGCCAGCATCAGCAGAACAGTGAGCTGCGCGTGAACTTCAATGAAAATATGTTGTGGCCAAATCTTCAGAAGTTAGATGTCTCAGAACAACTTCCAAATCGTTGCTGATCCTTCTGTTGCTTGAAAAACTCATACCATCAGAATTGCTTCCAAGCCAAAACGCTCCTCTCGGTGGTAAACACCCCTATCGCTTCGGCTCATCCACTTCCACAGACCTACACTACTTGCTTTGAGCAAAGTTTTGGGGGTGGCATCCGAATGTTTTTTTGCCGGAGTGCTAATGTTGACCCGCTCTCTTTCCTCTAAATGGGTGTGCTGGCCAACATTGTTCTTCGCCTTCGGTCGTGTTTCAGCTTCACTCGTGTAAAATGCACAGTAGATTCAATGGCCTTGAAAATGAACCAACCAATTTAGAGGAATGACAACCCAGAAGGTTGAGCTACAGCTGGTCACAAATACGGATGCCAGCTCATCCCAAGCAGTTTTTTCAACGTAACCTGTCAAGAGAGGGTGAAACGCTCAAATTGTGACACTTGAGGCAAATCTATTCTTCGGGTACTTCGATGGCCGCTGAGGTGTTCTCCACGGCACTTTCACAACCACATTTCACAAGGCCGATCCAACTTGGTTCCCACCGTGGCTGTCGACTCCCTGATCCGGGTCTTGTGGCCGCAGGTGTTGACTTCAGGACCTGGGGCGGCCAAGTTGCGACGCCACCAGCACCAACACCTTCCTGAGCTTCGCACGCTTCCTGAGCTTCTCGAGCTTCGTTGATTTGGATCAGCCTCTGGAGCTTCACGACAGTCTCGTGTAGGGCCTCGGCATTCTCTGTGGCCACGGAAGCGCTTAGAGCTGATGCCAGGTCTTCTGCCTTCGCCAGCAGCGCGAAGACCTCGCTGTCGCCCGCATCCAATGGAGCAAAGACCTGTTCGCCCTCCCGACACGAATGAGGTGGGGCAGAGACGGCGACATCAGAAAGTTTCATCTCAAAGCAGGAAGGATTCAGAAAGCTATGGCCTTCCAAGAGAGCTTTCAACATGTTTGACTGCTCATGAAGTATTCTCAACACATCTTGCTCCACTACCTTGCGCAGCTCCATGATGGAGTATTTCACCAGAGAATGCATGATCACAGGATCTCTTTTAAAGAAGCTCCCAAGATGCTGACAAAACTCCAAATATGAAACCTCCTGAGTGCTCTCTGAATCTAAGACATTGAAGACCATTGCCATATCTTCTCGCTTCAAATCCATGACTTGCATCAGCTTCTTGAATTCCTCCACTTCATCGTAGCCCTTCAGCATTTCCTCAAGGGATATAAGGCCATTGTTGTTCACGTCCATGCTGGCACAAAGACTCGCCAAGTCTTCCATGCTCTTTGCTCGTTCTTCTTCTTTTCTTTTGATCTTGGCCTCATGATCATTCTCCCTGGCTTCCGCAGCTCTTTCCACAATGACCTCAAAACAAGGCATCGTAGCACTCCCAAGCAACCCCTTCCCCCGTGAGACTGAAGATATAAAAAGGTTTGACTTCTTGACAAGTGGCGGCCAAGATGAGATTCAGCATACCCAAGGATATGGTGATCAACATGGAGAACAACAAAATAGCGGTCAAAGGCTCCTCTTCCACCACGGGGATGGAAATCTGTCCCCAGTTATCTCCTGCCACGATCTGCTGGAACAAGGTCAATGCAGCTGCGAAGATGGTCTCGAAGCCGGCAGCACATCTGTCACATCCATCGAAAGTCAAGCGACTTGCAATGGGGTGTAAAAGTTCCACCTCAAATCACCAGATTCGACTTGCCTTCAGAGTTCGAAGCCATTTTTAAGCACGAAATAAGAAGGAAGCGACCAGAAAGAACATCAGTTGTTACTCTTGACGTCAAGGAATCGAGGTCTGTAAAAGCATGGGCGCGGGTTTTTTCTCTTGAGGCGAAAACCACTGCAGTTGTGCTCATGTCTATACATGTGACTGTATGATTCGGCATGAGTGTATCTGACACCCTGCCTTGCGGCTGCACGACTGAATGCATCCGCACCTCTTTTCTCTACAAGCAAGCTAGGTGGCCAGAAGCTATTCTTGACTGAAACCACCAAAGCTTCAAAAGCTTGTCTCTCACTTCAGCGTTTGCTGTCATGCTCAGCATCATCGGGCTTCTCGTTTTCCTTGTCCATGTCATCATCGTCTTTACTGATGACTTCAGGTAAGGAGGTTCACCGTCCTGCAGTCCAGCTCTGATGCGCTCTGTAGAGCTGTTTGCATATGTTGTCCTCTCAGTTGTCTCAGCTGTTCCAGCTGCAAATGCCAATCCTGCCATGCTGTGCTCTCCAGGGATGATGTGCGCTTCTTCTGGTAGTACCTGGAGCATCGCTTCTTCTATGCCCTTCTCCAGCTTCTCGTCCTTCTCCACGTTGATATCGCTCCACTGTGTTCAAAGACGTCATTCGTTGCCTTCTCAATTGCTTCTCTCTCTAGCCATTGTAGCTTCTTGATGAATCTGAAGCTTCTCCTGCATCCTTCTGGAGTTGTGCAATCGTCGATCGCTTCCAGGATCTCCTTGTGTAGGATCTGTAGCCTGCCAAACATATCTCCATTCAACACCACTCTTTGTGTCATTGCCGTGTCCGGGATCTGGTTGATCAAACCTGCCAATTCATGCCCTGCATGAACTAGGTGAGTCTCAACTCCTTCTCCTCTCATCAGCATCTGCTGTCGATACCAGTCGAAAGTCTCTTGCTCATCTGGGATCATGTCATAGAGCTCGTCCTCGTCGTAGTGATTGCTGTTGTCGGCTATCATCTCGCCAACGCGTCTGCCTGTCTCTTCAAGTGTCACCCAATATCTATTATCTACATCTTGCGCTCTGTTCTGGGCTTCTGCTTGTCGCTCTCCTTCTGAATGTCTCAAAATCAAGCACAATTCGCGAACTGTCTCTTGAAATCTCGAGGTGCTCTGCCTCATTGGTCTCATTGCTTTCTTGATCTTCTTCGCCATGACCTGAACGTCCATGACCATCAGAAGTCATCCATTGGTGTCCATCTTCTCCATGACCATGTTGCTGTACTCGTCGAACTTGTCCATGTAGGTGTTCGTCTCCATGGTGTCCGGGATGAAGTTCATCATCTTCTCCTTCTGGTTCTGGTTCTGGAACGTCATCTGGTCTCATAGCTCCATGTGAAGCTTCCTGCTGTAGTCGCTCGCCTTCGTAGTGCATGTGCTGCTTCTTCTTGATCGCCACTCTGTCCAGCTTGTGTAAAAGCATCAAATCGTTCTTGTCCAGGTTGACTCAAAGTTTGTTCTGGACTTGGTTCCTCTCCAAGAGGTTCATCTTCTTCTGGAACTTGTTCATGTTGTTCTGGTAGGTCTTGATCATGTTCTCCTGGCGCTTCATCGTTATGGTTCCTGCCACTGCTTCCTGCTCGCCTGAAAGGAAGGGGAAATATGTTCATCAATCCTCTCTGGAACCTTGATGGATCGATGTCTTGCCATACCTTGTAGCGCTACATACTCTTCACCAAGTTCTGCTAGTGCTCCTATGTGAAGGGGAGGTCGCCATCCTAACCTCATTGCATCTCCAGGTGTCATTCTTGGTCTCTGTCTTCTTGGTCGATCTGGAGCGATGCCTGATGTAAAAGGTCCGCTCTCCTGCGAAGTTGATGTCGAGGATGAAGAACTGTCAGGATAATCTCCTGTCGTCGTAGGCGTCGATCTGGTCGTAGTCGCCGCGTCAACTCGTCGAAGACGTTTTGAGAAAATCTCAGCTGCACCTGCTGCAATCTGATCGCGTAGATCAGGTAGGCAATCAGCAATGTCAATGCTGTCATCACCATGTTCTTGACCGTGAGGTAGTCCATCCATGTGATGTCTCCACCTGTCAGGAAAGTGCGCTCACAGCCTTGCAGAAAACAACTGCTACTTGCTAGTAGGACTCTCAAAACCTTCTGGAGTGATCTGCTGTCCAATGTCTTCTCTGTCTCAATATTCTCTATCTCCATGCCAATCTGAAATCCTATGGGAATCAAAGCCATCAGCTTCTTTCTTCGCTCTTGTGAGAGTTTCTTCGTGTTCAGATCTGACGGGTTGATTGCTGTTGGAACCCTGCATAGGCGAATGGTTTTCTCTCGAACCAAATCTTGCGGATGTGAATGTGCTTTAGCTTTCCTTATCCGGCTCGCTGCATTATGCCTCTTGCTGCCGAGCTGTCACTGTACGCTGTCATCTGCACATCTTCTCCAATCAGAAATTTCAACAAACTGCCAACATGCAAAAATTCTGCGATGCCACTGCAACTTGCATAGAGTTCTGATTCTGCACTTGATAGTGCTTTTGAGCTTTGCAGCTTGCACGAGGAAATCAAAAGATTGCCGTTCATGAAAATCATGTAGGATGTCATCGACTTTCTTGAGACCTTGCATCCTGCCCAAATGGCATCTGTGAATGCTTCTAAGTTGAATGCCTGCCCGTCCTGTCGGTTGCTCCACTCTGCATAGTCCCAATGATCACTTGTGATCTGGTACATCTTGGCTTGCATCAGCAAGACTCCTGCTTCTCGTTTGCCATTGAGGTAGCTTGCTAGGTGTCGTAGTGCTGTGAAAGCTAACTTGGTTCCACCTGCCATGGATGTTGAAAGTCTCTTCAGTGCTTGCTGGATATCTGGTCGGTCTTGTGCTATGTAAAGTGCTAGTCCGAGACCTGAACGGAAAAATCCGTTGTCCTTCGGCGTCAAGTCGTTCGTTGTCTTTGACGCCATCTTTTCTGTGAACTTCAAGGCTTGCATGGTGTGGTAGGCTCTTTGCCTTCTTTCCTTCTAGTCCTAGGAGTTCCACCATCTTCTTGATGTAGGAGGGATTCGGATCGATGAAAATCCCCTGCCTTGCCAACATCACCTTCTTCAAGTAGTACAGCGTTTCACCGCTGTTGAATCTGATAGGTCCTTCTGAGTTCATCGTGAGATGTGTTCTCACCATCGCGCTGAACCATGCCCAACCATCTGGGTTGCACGTCACCGAAACATCGTCCACGCGGATCATCACGAAAACCTTTCTCCCCACATGTTTGAAAACTGTTGGCATACCTTTGTAGGATTGGAATCCTGCCTTCTCAACTAATTCCTTGAAGAGTTCACTCCATCGGAGCGCTGCATTTCTCTGGCCTGGTAGGCATTTCAGTAGTTTTCACTTCTCAGCCTTCAGCAGTGGATTGCCTGTCTCATCTTTCTCTCCAAGACTCCAAGCTCTTGAATCCACTGTGGTACAATCACTTCTACTAGCTCTCGTTGTCGAACGCTGAGGAATGCGTCCTTGATGTCTGCCACATAGAGCTGCAGGTTGTAGATTGCCCCCCAAGACAATGATCAGCTTCATGGTGAAGCTTGCTGGTGTTGGACTGAATTGTGTTTCATCTGTGTTGGATGTCCTGTACTCTCTGGCAACAATTCTACACCTTCTCTTCCACTTCCCACGGAATCACCAGTCAAATCAATGCTTCTTCCTTCTCATCAGGATCTGCTACTGCCAACACTTCTAGCTTCTGTAGCCTTTCAATCTCTTCAAGTGTTGCTTCTCGATCTAGCTGCGCTAGTATGTCATCGCTCACTGTTGGAGGTCGAGGTCCATCTCGTTCTTCTCTGTCTTCTCGAGAAGTCCATCTCGATGTCGAGTTCTGGACGCGACTCTTCATCAAACTGCCACTCTTCAAGTAGGTCAGCTTGTTCATCTACATAGTGTTCTTGAACTTGTCGGGTGTCTCCGGCGAATGTCGGACTGTACATTCCTGTCCGGGCTGCCTTTGCCGTGTGCTCTGAAGTCTCTTCACTGTGCTTGTATGCCTTTGCTGGTTGCTCTTCACTTCCTCCTTCAATTGGATGTACATTCGACTCTTTTTGTTGCGATGTGTCCATTGCTCCTGAGCTGCTACTTCCTTTGTCTTCTACAACTTCGAGTCGAGGCTTCTTTGCAACTTGTTCAACTCCCACTTCATGTGCCCTGCCTGGGTCACTCGGAGTGTACTCCTCTTCATCGCTTCCTTCAGGATGTTGTTCATGATAGTCTTGAACTGCCTTCTCATCTGGATCTTCATTGGTTGGATGGAGAACTGGTTCTGGAGGTCGCAGCTCTCTCAACTTGCTCTTCATCATTCCATGTGTCGCCGCCTTCTTCAAAGTCTCTGTGATCGTGAGGCAAATGAGTAGCTCCTTGTCATACTCTTTGGCGCAAAGTCGAACTGCTCGCGCCCTTACCAATCTTTCTCCTTCAAACGCTACTATGTCTTGGTCTGCTCCATCTTTGCCACGCCAAAATCCTCTGAGCCATCTTCGCTCATACTTGGACCTGCGCTCGTCTAAAGCAAACACCGTACTTCCAAATGAACAGATTCTGCCAGCATACGGTCTACCTTGTAGTGCTTGAAATGGAATCATCTTCAATGTTGAGTGCACTGCATACCTGTTCAACAATCATGCACTATGTCGTGCTGCCCATCCGTGAACTGCATGTTCAGGATCGAATTCTAGGTGAAGTACCAAGGCTTTAGCCTGATTGCGAACTGTCTGAATGAAGCGCTCTGCCATCGAAGTCTTTGCTTTGTCAAAGGCCTTGTTCATGTTTGAGGGTTGTTGGAAGACCCATTCGTGACCTTGTCTCTTTGGCTAGCTCCCCCTAGCCAAGAGAACTTTCTCTTGATCGCAAACTAGTTCAACTTGCTCAACTTGTCCAACTCGTCCAAGCAAGCTCATCACTGCGTCAGCTACATTCCTTGTAGTCTTCTTCAATGGGATTGCCTCGCAGTATCTTGTCCATACATCAACGAGTACCAGTACGGAAATGCCGCCTGACACTGTTCCAGAGTCCATCTGAACTGTAGGAATACTCTTGTTGAACTGGGCGCTGGAAAGCTTCTCTTTTTGCTGTTGTCCTTGGCTTTAGCCATCACGCACACATCACACCAAGCTTTGTATGGTAGGTGAGTGAGGTTCACAATCTCCGCTCAAGCTTCGAAGGTAATCGGGGAATCGGGGAATTCGTTGGTCCTTCACTTTGCTTGTCTTCGCTCTTCTCTCTTGATGGTGTAGTTCAGCCTGTCGAGAATCTTCTGCCTGGAACCTGCAGTTGGCACTCCAAGCCACTTTGCTGCTGCACGTGGATCTTTCATCGCTGAATAGGGACTCGATGTCATCTCATTCACAACCACTTCTGTTGACACTTCCATTGGCTCACATTCATCTTTCTCTCTTGACGCCAATGCTTCATCTTGTTGTCCCTCATGGAGTCCAAGCTCACGTCGTGCTCTTGCTTCTTTCTCTGCTTCTCCAACCATTGGATTCAACGCATCCTCATCCACAATGTCGAAGAGCTTGTCGAAGTCAAAGTAGTCTCCACTGGCTATCGTCAAAACAAGCCAGATGCTGCCGCCACACTCCGGGGTGTTCTCGGTCATGTTCTCCTTCATGGAAATGTCTTCACAGAATTCAACCATCTGCCATCTCCGAGCTGGTCCGGGAAGTTCGTTGAGTTCTTGGATGAAAGTGCTTCTGAATGTGAGTCGTTCACCCCAAGTCGTCTTGGTGTCATAGAGCTTTTTCGACAAAGACTTGATGGAAACCATCTCTTCATCACAATGCCTCCATAGGTTGTTCGGTTCTGTCTCGATGCCATATCCTTCTCTTGATTGGACCATCATGCGAACATGTAGTGGAATCTGGTGCTCATCATCTTCTTCAGTGCCTTCAATGGCTAGAGACATGCCATGATATCCAACTGTGATTGCTGCCTCTCGGTCTGGTGAGCATAGTAGGAGCTTGTTCTTCTGGCGCTCATCATGGTTCAAAGTCCAACCGCTCTTCAGCAATTGTCGAAGGCTCAATAAACAACTTGTGACTTCTCCAACTAGGAACCTGTGACGAAGTGTGACCATCTCTTCATTCGTGTCCACCACCTCTATCTCTGTTTCTCGCGTTCCTCCTACATCCAACCTTCTTCCTTGGCAATCTTGTAGTCGATGTTGGTTGCCAAGATCTCTGTCCTCCTTGTAGAACTTCTTGGGAAGTAGGCTCACATCTGAACCACTGTCCAGGATGATTGTCTCAAAGTCTTCTTCTGGAATCTCTTCAAGAGCTATTCGAACTCGTTGGTCTGTTCGTCCATGGGAAACCAGTCATGAAATGTCCACGGTCGTCAATGTCGAGCTTGTGGTTGAACCATTGATGGAAGTCATCGTCCCACGCCGTTGAAGTTCGGGTTGAAGTCGTCAAGAGGTCGTCATCGATGATGTAGTACTCTGTCTCATGATCTGTGACCTGGAGCATGTTTACTTCTCCTTCGAACTCTGAGTTGCCAATCTCATAATAGACTCTTCTCACTGTTGGTTGTGATTGTGTGGACCTGTAGGTCGAGTGAGGATACGCGATTGTGCTCTGAGTTGAACCGCTTGCCACTGAAGTTCCACCTCCTTGTTGACCTTGTGGTGCAACAGGTTGTTGCGCCTGCTGTTGCTGCACTTGGTTCACCTTCTGTGGACAATCTCTTGCCCAGTGGCCTGACTGGTCACAAATGTTGCAGTTGTTGCCTCCAATGTAGTTCTGCGTGTAGTTGGTGTTGTAGCTCTTTGCTTTGCCTTTACCTTTCTTGCCTTTGCTCTTGCTCTTACTCTTTCCTTTGCTCTTTCCTTTGCCGCGTCCTTTACCTTTGCCACAGCCTTTGTAACTTCTTCCACGACCACCGAATGGCCACGCACCTCGCCACCAACTGCCTTTTCCTTTTTGCTTGCCTTTGTACTTTCCTTTGCCTTTACCTTTGTCTTGCACTCTGTTTACTTCCATTGGTGCCAAACCATTGTCTGCGCTTGCTGTTGCGGGATCTTGGATCTCGAGCTGCTTGGGGATTTGCTCTTGTGAGAAACTCTTGGATGTTCTCTCATAGGCAAGTAGCGCTTCTCGCACATCAGCATAAGTTGATCTATTGCTCAAAGAAAGTTGTAGATGTTCTCTGAGTTTTCAAATCACTGGGATATGTCTCCTTGCTCGTCTGCTCATACTGGTTCACCAGCTGTTCATACTGTGTTCTCCAGCATGGAGATCTTGTTGTTGAAGTTGGGATACTGGCCTAAGGTCTGGGCTATAGCAAGTGATCTTGCTGGAAGGAATTCTCGGCACATCTGAAACCAAAGCTTGAAGCCGTCCTTGTGCTGTTGGTTGGCCCTGACATGTTTGCGCATCTTCCTCGAAGATATGAACTCAAAACCACAAAGAACTTGTTGGCCATTGCTGTTTGCTCTGGCGTGTAGACCGTGTGGTCAGGTTCACTTCCTTGCTCTGTCTTCGTCAACAAATCTGTAAATCGAGCATCACCAAACTCAGCCAGGATTCAAATTGAAGTTTCCAGGATGAGGGATCATCTCCCGTGAACGTGTCTGGACTATTCAATATCTTTGTTGCACTCTCAAGACCTTGTGCTGTTGAACCTGAGGCTTTGGCGAAAGCCTCTGTTGCTTCTGTTTCTGCTTGCGCTGCACTTGTTGCTGCGCTTGCTAGTTGCGACATCTGCTGTAGGATTTGTTGTGTTTCCATTCCGTTTGCTGTACTCAGCATTGCCACCATCATGAAAATCTGAATTGCCGTTTGTTTGCCATGCGACCCAAGTGGCTTCTCCTATTCACTTTTCTTCTTTCTTTCCCTTTCACTCTCACTAACAGCCATTGTCTCCTCTCATGTCGTGTTGTCCAGCCTCGAGCTCGTTCATCTTCCAAGCCATGGGCTGCAACCACCAGCCCAAGCATCAGCAGCGCCATCATCTGCCACCTGCACTGGATGGCCAAGCTCACGCAAATCACCGTGAAGATCTTGTCGCTGATCTTCTCCATGGGGATCTCGTTGTAGTCCACCGTCTGCTCATTGAAGTTCACCATGCTGCTGTTCTCTTTCTTCTTCTGGCACTTCTCGATGTCAAAGTTCAGGATGTAGTTTTCCTTCTTGTAGGCGACATTCTCCTGGTCGACCATTCCACATTGCCGGACTCGCCCACCCAGCTTTTCCTTCTTCTCCATGGTGCTCTTTCTGATCTCCTCGTCGACCTCGTCCTGCGCCATGTCATTCTTTATGATGAGGTTCTTTTCTCTCTCTCTTTCTCCTCGAGAGTGAGTTCCCATCACTCCATTGCTGAGCCCCCAGCTCAGTCATGAGCACCATGGCCTCGTCATCCATCAACTGGGACTCGAACCCAATTGCAGTCACCTCGGCATTCTTGCAGGACTCTTTCTCTTTCTCCCCATGAACTCCATGTCCGAGGCTGGCGCTCTTCTTCTCCATGAGGTCCCCCTTGACCTTCTTTTCCTCCTTCTCTTCAGTGAGTGCCACCATGCCTCACTGGGCGCCATCGAACTTCTTCCTGAAATTCTCCATGTTGTAGCGCCACCACCATTTGAGCTTGTCCAGGACAAAGTGTCGCTAAATGAACTGCTCGTTGATGATGTCCAGGATGTAGATGCCCTGTCCTGAGGAAAACTTCGCGCCGTCGAGCTCCTCAGTGTCATAGGCCCTGTCGAATTCATCGCCAGCTGCTCTTGGATCTTCTCTGTGGGCGCTTCAGCTTCTGGGTCTGACGGCATCCAGAGCTCTATTCTCATGGCCATCAAGGCCAATGCCACCATCGCCATCCATGGCTTCGTGAACCTACGAGCCCTCAGGACATGTAGTCCATCACTGGGCTCCGCTACCATGTAAAAGCATGGGCGCGAGCTTTTCTCTTGAGGCGAAAGCCACTGCAGTTGCGTTCATGTCTATACATGTGACTGTATGATTCGGCATGAGTGTATCTGACAAGGTCATGTCTTCAACTAGTCTAGTGCCTTCCAAAGCGAATCTGCCAAGGGACTGAGATCACAGCCCAGAAAACGATCACAGAAGCCAGCATGAGAGCTCCAAAGAAGATTGCCTTGATCGATGAAGCCAAGCCAGTGATCAAAAGGTAGAACTCCTTAGGTAGAAGATTACCCCAACCAAAGGACCCACGGACTCAACGCACTCTTTAGAAACCTCCAGAATAGCATGCAAACCCTGAAGTGTGAAAAGGAGCCAAGAATACCTAGAGAAACAGCCCACCAATCCTGTGGAACTACTTGGTCCGGCGTGTGTAGATGGCCGTGGTGTTTTGTGGCCATTTGCATGAGTTGCAGAACGTATTTTTTATTGAAATTCCATTGGGGCTAGGGTTTGTGGATATATCGCAAGTATGAAGTCCAGTTTTTTTGGTTCGGAAAAACTACTTTGGTCAAATATTATGAACACTCGGAAAACTTGCATCTGTCCACTAACATGCTCTTGTCAAGGCAATGAGCCGTGCGCCTGTCACATACACATACGTCATCACCGCCCCACCCCACCCCCCCTGAAATGTAGAGGCCTACTTGTACAGGTTCCACTCCAGTGGCCTATCTAGTGTGTCCATGCTTGACTGCCATAAGGCTCAAGAAGGGATATAGGATAAGACTCTGCGTGAGCAAAAGACACTAGCGGTCTGCACCTCTACCGTGTACGCCCTAGTCACTCTTTCAGTGGTAGCGGAGCAGTGATCCTGGAAGACCCAGGTGAGCTCCTTTCCTAGGCATAGAATTGCTTGTGGGCAACCGGCCATGGATTGGATTGACGACTGGGAAGAGCCTGATGCGGATGTGGCTTATGAGCCAGCAGCCTACGTGAATAGGCATGTGAGAAGAGAACCAGCAGCGATAGCTATGACAACACAGGTCACTACAAAGGTGCCTCCATCTTATGATGGAAAGACTTCATGGTTTTCCTATGAGGATGCCATAGCCGATTGGTGTGATATCACCGAGCTGGAGGATGAGAAGAGAGGACCAGCATTGAGAAACCGACTAGAAGGAGAAGCAGCTGTATACAAGCGAGTTTTAGACAGAGATGCATTGGAGGCTAATGAGCCACCAGGAGCTGGAGTAGATTACTTCAAGAGAGTACTACGACCATATTTTGTGAAAGGATCAACCAATGTATTCCTATACAGGTTTATGCAATTCGTGCGATTCAATCGAGGATCAGCCGACATGATGAAGTGGATGACAAGATTTCAGATTTTACTCCAAAGGCTTATGAGCAGTTGGATGGACATGTTGGATCCAGTAACACAAGTACACCCACAGGTACAAGCTCAAATGCAAGCAGATGCAGCGGTGACTGGAGTAGCTCCAACAGCAGAAAGAATTCAGGAAATCACGCAGAATGTCAATGGCAATATGAGAATTCTTCATCAGAACGATTTTCCTTTAGGAGAGAATCTCATTGCCTTCCTCATGCTGTCACTTGCAGATTTGTCTCAGGGCCAGCGAAACACTTTGACTTCTTTGATGACTCATCGTGGTAGAGTCCTGCAGCAGTACACCACAACAGAGTTGAGGACAGTTTTCATTGAGATGTTCTGCACAACAAAGACTTCAGTAGACAATCCTCTTATGCAGCCAACAGGTGCTGGAGGTAGAAGATCATTTCTCGTACTAGACGAAGGAGAACTCGATGGTACATTTGGCTATTGGGCCGAAGATGAAGAAGATGGAACAGAAGGATTCCTAGATGCCCTGGACGATGTCTTTTGGGTATATGATGAACAGAATTTCTCTTGGTTCCAGAGAAGATTCCAAGGAAGAAGAGCCAGAAAAGGCAAAGGAAAAGGAAGAAGAAAAGGAAAAGGAAAAGGAAGATCAGGCCGCAGATTTTTCAGACCTCGAGGAAAAGGAAAAGGAAAGAGACGAGGTAAAGGCCATTATGCTGATGAGCAATCGACAACTTATCCAGAAGAGTATTATGAAGAGAATCCTTATGAGGACACTTGGGAGTCAAATCAAGTAGCATATGATGCTATCATTGCCGAAGATATGAATGACTATCTTCAAGGAGAACGTGAAGATGCCAATGACTTTTGGCAACAACTTGAAGAAGCATGGTTTTCCCACAAAGGAAAGGGAAAAGGCAAGAGAAAAGGCAATAAAGGAAAAGGAAAAGATAAAGGAGATGGCAAACAAGATGCAAACTATGCAAATCAACAACAGCCACGTTCTTTACCTGCACCTTCAAGAACTTCACAAGCATCAGGAAGCAACCAAGGCTTCTTTGCTCATTGTGTGACAACGGTAGCTGAAGTCCATGACAGTGAGGTGGACTTGCTGTCAGGCATGATGACCTCATGTCAAGACGAAGCTGACTGTAATGTCAACAATGGTGAGACGATCTTCGATGGCATGAGTGCCCCTGTGAGGTACTCTTTGTCAGAGGAGATGCTCACAGATGCTCCTGATGGCTTTGCGCTTATGAGCGCTAAGGAAGAAGTGAAAGAGACGCAGGCTATTTCATTTTTGACTGAAAATCGCTTCCCGCCAACTATTGCAATCCTGGACATTGGATGCACTAGAGCTATGGGATCAAGGCGTGCAGTCGATTATTTTTGTAACTATGTCGACAATCACCCAGACTGTGGACTATGGTACTCTTTTGAGTCTACCAAGAGCAAGTTTTACTTTGCCAATTCCCAGAAGGCTTCTTGCTCTCAGAAACTGGTGATTTACATGTATGATCGTGCATGGACGATCCACCATACAGAGTTTGACATAGTTGAAGAAGGAGAAGTCCCTTTGCTTATGAGCTTGCCACAGATGAGGAACTTAGGCTTTGAACTCAGGCTGACACCTCAACATGCTTACCTGACATCGGTGCCTCTTGGTATCAAATTTTTGGAGTTGAAGGTTGCAGCCAGTACTCATCTTGTATTGTACTTCCAAGATATTGCATGGTATCTGTCTGACGTGCGTTTGCAGGCTCGGCGAGAGAAGAGCTTTTACTCTCACTTCACTCACTATGAATATGGCCATATTTCTGTTGATCACAATAGTGATGAAGATGAAGCTGAGCATGCATATCCTGTGGTTGACTACTGGGAAGTAGATGTTCACAAGAGAGAACTGATACGTCACCACAAGGATTACAGGAAGATTCTTTTCCCAGCAACCAAGTCCTGTCCTGTAGACACTGACTTGCTGGACGACTTGCGACTGACAATCATCAAGAAGAAAGATGGAGGAGAAGAGATCAAGAAGCAAGATGATTGGCGCAAGGCAAAATGGAAGGACCTACAAATTGGCTATGAAAGGCGTGGTAGAACAACTTTTAAGTTCAAGCCAGATGCCAAAATTCCAGATCTAAAGATCAGGAAGGCTGGCATTGAGCACCGTGGCATTGGTGATCCCGATGCAGTGGTGCGCTCCTCCTCAGAGAAGGTTCCCATTGCAAGGGACAGGGAACCAGGCTTCTCTTCAGAGAAGGAAGGTGCACCATCCAGTGCCGCGGAAAAGCCTGTGCCGCCAAAGTTTCGGTATACATCCAAGGGTTTTGATTTATTTTGGAAAGGACACAAGTCAAAACCATCTGAGCCTCCAAATGATTTAAAGGGTGATGATCCTGAAGGGTATACTCCCTCAGAACCACCTGAGAGGCCAGAAGGTGAACTTGTAGAAATTCCTAAAGCATCAAAAGGACCATCAAGTGATAAACATGAACCACTTGAACCAGGTGGTGGCGCTCTTGAGCCTAGGCGGATTTCAATCCCATTACCTGGTAGTGAAGTTGTTGCAATGACACCGGCATATAGGAAGATGTTGCAGAGACTGGAGGACAAGGTAGAGCTTTATAAGCTTCATGTGAAGCACTACCATATGAGTCCTACTCAGTTTCGTAGGCGTGTTTCTATGTTGAAGCTGCCTGACTCTGTTTTAGAGAAGTATGAATCAGTTGTCAGGGACTGCCGTGTTTGTAACACTTCAGTGGCACCTCCGCCACGAGCCAAAGTCTCCGGTATTAGAGCTTCATGTTTTGGTGATGTTGTTTTTGCTGATCATTGTGAGGTTGAACTTCACAAGAATAAGTATATCATTCTACTTGTTCTTGATGGTGCCACAAATCTTCTCTGGGCTACGGCACAGACAGACCTCATAGATCAAACCACCATCCAAGCATTGAGGCAGTGGTCTGATGAGAACAACTGTGTTCCGAAGGCCATCGTAGGAGACGAAGCCTTTTTCACAGATGCTTTTGTTGAATACTACAGGTTTCATGGTATACAACAATGTCCTTGTGGACCAAGAACTCTTTGGCCGAACCGAGCAGAGACAGCTGTACGTTTGTTCAAACGTATGTGGCATGTTATGAAAGTAGATCTGGATGACCCACGTTTTCGTGGTGTTACGGTCAGAGAAGTGGTCAAGAAAGTAGTGTGGGCAAGAAATTGTCAGTTGACTATCAGTGGATATTCACCAATAGAGATAGCAACTGGAAGACGTCCACCAGATCTTTTTGACCTTGAGACCGCAAGCCCTGAGCAATTGTCAGCTAGTGCAGCCGCACAAGATCGTACAAATCTGGAACTACAACGTGTAGCTTTAAGAGCTCATCAAGAAGCACGACAAGCTCAGGACCTTCGAGCAGATCTTGCAAGAAGGACTATGCCAAGTGACGGTCCCTATTTCCAAGGTGAGAAGGTTTTTATTTGGACTCAGGATTCATCAAAGTTCAAGGATAAAGGACGTTGGGTTCGTGCCACAGTACTTGGACAAGAAGGAGCTATGGTCCAAGCCAACACTGGTAAGGCAGTGGTACGTGTGAATCAGTCAAAGGTTAGACGTGATCACGATGAGTGGCATGATGTTTCCATACGCACTAGACGATGAGAATCCGGAGAACTTACGTGAAGATCACGAACTGTATGTTGATGCCGAATTCGGAGAACAGTCCTTTTTCTTTTGTAATGATGATCATCCTGATGTTGTTGAGTTACTTCATGGAAACAGTGGATTATCTTGGTTCCTTTCAAAGAATGGACTTAGAGTTGCATCTCCTATGGATTTCAAGGCAGGATACAACTTTTCCACATGGAAGGGTCAAGATGCTATTTGGCAGCAACTTGAGAGGTTGCAGCCC